ACATGCGCCACGTTTCATTTCAGATAAAGTACCAGATTCTGGAGCAAAGTCAGGATTAGCTGATGGAAATTTAAGCGCCAGCTTAGAGAAACCAACCGCACCCGATACGACTAGTTCAGCAAATGCATGCCAGCCCTGTACAACTGGTGCTTCTGATGCTGCAAATTCATCCTCAGCATGCACATCTAGTGCTGCACATTCATCCACGCAAAATACAAGTAGCATTTCTGATGCTACAGCAAATTCTACGACGCGAAATTGCGGCTATGGTGCCGCAGCTAATTTAACCAAACCGAACCCTGGCTGTAATTCTGACATTACAAATTCAACCATATCAAGCAAAGATGGCGCTTCCGGCACTGCTAATTTGACCAATTCAAATACAAGTAGTTCTTCCGCTGGAAAAGCAAATTCAACTACGGCAGGTTGCACATCTAACGCGACCAGGCTAGAACTGAGTAGTGCAACTAATTCGACTATGTCAGGCGCAAATGACGCAGGTAATTCAACAAAGTCGGATGCAGGAGGCGCAGCAAATTTGACCAAGTTAGTCGTGAACGGCGCAGCCAATTCGTCAAAGTCGAATGCGGGAGATGTCGCTAATTCGACTAAGCAAGGTACAGGTGGCATAGGTAATTTGACTAAGCCAGGAACCGATGACGCAGCAAATTTCACGAAAGCAGATGCAGGGGTCATGGCCAATTCCTCTAAAACAGAAGTAGGAGGTGCAGCTGCTCCGATCAAGTCAAAACTGAGTGACGCAGCTAATTCGACTGGATTAGGTACCGGTGGTGCAGCTGGTGCGACCAAGCCAAGTGGAGATGGCGCTTCTGGCACTTCGGCAAATTCGTCGGGATTAAATACAGGTTATGCTTTTGCTGCAGCTAATTCGGCTAACTTAGATGTGTAGTTAGCTGGCTCTCTGCAGTAAGTTTGGGCTGCTAGAGAGAGACGCCAGTACCGGGTGTTTTAAAATATAACAGTAAACTTAAACTCAAGCTAAAACGATATGCAGCTACTTCAAAATATAATTACTCTCCGTTCCTCTTACTTTTCAAAGCACTCCTCCAACTTTCTCAGCATGATAAGTCTCCTTCCTGGTGTGCACCGCTTTTATGACTTCGACATCGCGCCCTGACTGTTATCTGGTTAATCCATCCAAACACAGTCTAGAACACGTGGGAACAAGAAATGGCAAGATTCGGACAATGCGAAGCAGGCACTAAGGCAACGGAATTTTTCGCAATAGCTACGTTAAGCTCCTCTTTCAGCAGAGCGGTGTTGCAGGTACCACAACACATGGTTGCCCGTCTGTAAGGAGAGCGATTTCAGAGCTCTCTTTAACATTACTATGAAAGTGCAACCAAGCTTTTCTTTTCTATGGAAGCAGCCAGTTTTGCAAAAATCGCATTCGTTTTCACGAAACAGATAAGTCAGCAGAATCTTAAGGCAGTCCAGAATTGATACATTTCGTACCCCAGATGTCTACTAGAATCAATCATTGGCGACACGCACCGGGCGGGCCCGTGCGATCATGCGTTTTTGCAGTGTTTCGTGATGTAATGAGATCGCTCCGAAACCCAGTAGCTAGAAATCTGTGACATACCGGTCCTCGAATTTTGAGAAGTTCATTGTCTACGCTGTACTTTGACAAGGAAATTCCCTAAAAATTTCAGCCTCCCATCTTTCCTGGTTCTGGATTTAGGCATTCTCCCCCCAAAGATTTTCACGGGGTCGTACGTGAGAAGCACGACTAGAGGCTGAATTTGATAAATTTAAGTTGTACATGGGTTAGGAACATTCCCTTAAAATCTCAGGTTCCCAGCTTTCCTAGTTCCCCAGTTAGCCACTTCCCCAACAAAAATTTTCACGGGACTGTACGTGGTAACCACACATGCCTGGAGGCTGAATTTGACAACTTCAAGTAACATTTCCTGAAAGTATCAGTCCCCCAGCTGTCCTGAATCTCAAGTTAGCGATTTCCCCCCTCCCTCCCCCCCCCCT